TCAGAAAACATTGTAATTTTCTCAGAATATACATTTAATATTAGAGTCATTTGCCATTGACTTCGAAACGATTCATTCCAAGCAAGTTCGGAGCAAACCCCTCCCTTCCATATGCCTACTCTTCTCTGATTGGTCAGCTGGCCAAGCCTGCTGTGATTGGCACAGAGAGGAGTCCTTGACTAGAGCAAGTTAGCGAGCGCTACCATTGACAAAGCACCTTTACATAAAACAATAATATATTGCTCCAATCTGTTCTTATAATAATGACATAAAATACGAAAACACTTATGCAAGCGAATCGTGCCCACAGCTAAAGTTTAGCTGTCTTAGGAAATAGTGGGTTCACCGCGAATTATCAGAACTACTTCAGTAAGACAGTAATATCGTGCTTTACCTGGAAACCTAAAGCTGCACTAGGTATACATCACATATTAGCACAAAAACTTGATATTTTGAGCACTCAATTGAAAATGTACACATAACGTATCAATCGTACTTACAGGTTGTGGTTCGGAGAGCTTGTTAGTCCAAATTAAGACGATTAGAAGCCAACGAAGATAAAAGCCAAGATTAGAGAAGCAGTCCTTGGTAAAATGACATGCACACACAACAAAATGTTCAAATTGTATTTCTGTGGTATCCTTGAACACAGCGTCTTCTCAACATGATGTAAACACACTAACTAGCAGAAGTGTTTGTGGGCAGGTCAGACTCTGTTCGTATTTCGCGGGCAGGCAGGGATTATGCAAATGTGTTACCCAGTGACGTATACCGGTAACAGGCAAAAGATTCGAAAATATGACGACTTGTTAAGGCGATTCAGAATCGACTCTCTCTTTTGAGAGACAATATCTTTATTTATCATGCATGTTTTTGATTAACAACTTGTTTTCATTTAAAGATAGCTACGTTATAAACTGCAAAAGAGATATTTTTCAAAAACCCATATGACCTGCTCTTTAAGTGTTTACTCACCCTCAAGCCGTCCAAGATGCAGATGAGTTTGTTTCTTCATCAGAGCAGATTTGGAGAAATGTAGCATTGCATCATTTGCTCACCAATGGATCATCTACAGTGAATGGGTGCCGTCAATATGAGTCCAAACAGCTGATAAAAACATCTCAATAATCCACAAGTAATCAGCATGACTCCAGTCCATCAATTAATGTATTTTGAAGAGAAAATATGTGCGTTTTAACATATTAAACTGTCGCTTCTAGCCAAAATAATCCATAATCCATATTAACGCTTGTGGATTATTGTGATGTTTTTATCAGCTGCTTGGACTCTCATTCTGACGGCACCCATTCACTGCAGAGGATCCATTGGTGAGCAAGTGATGTAATGCTAAATTTCTCCAAATCTGTTCTGATGAAGAAACAAACTCATCTACATCTTGGATGGCCTGAGGGTGATACATTTTCAGTAAATTTTCATTTTTGGGTGGACTATTCCTTTAAGAAATTGCCAAATGTGGCACTATTTGCTTTACAAATGTAAGATTGTTTGTACACTGGTAATATTCATATTTGTATAGAGTAAAAATATTTAGTATATAGTTTAAAATACAGATTTCTGTTAGTGATATTGTGAATGTCAAAATAATGTCATAAATTTCAATCCACAACCTTTAAAAATCTTTGTTACATTTTTTTTTTGTGAATATGAACTTCTTTATTAGGATACATGCAGCAGTTGTTTAGAAACATCTAAAAATAAAGCCCACTGGGATTATTAAAGTTTCCGTTCTGCACAAAAGCATTTCATTTCCTCCAGTTCTCCATGAGTGACATGAGCATGGTCTTGTAGACAGGTGGTTGCTGCAAAAACTCATGCAGATCATTTCACATATCATTTATGCAAAAAAATCAAGATATATACGCTCAATGTGCCGTTAAAGGTTTTTGGGTTCACTTGTTTCATAAATACGTGAATATTTAAATCTATTGTGTAGTGACTCCTGTAACCTATAAAGGTAATTTTAATATTCCACTGGGTTCTTACCATCAAGTACTCTGATGCATTTATGAATGTGTTTTTGTTTAAGGTAGGTTTTGATACTGGGTATAGACAGTCAGTTGTTGTTGTTTTGTTTTGTTTTGTTTTGTTTTTTATGCACGATTTTTTTATTATTTCATTCTGGCACTTCAGTAGCATCAACTGACATGCATCATTAAGATTCACTGTATAATTGTCTGTACAGTGTCATGCCTTGCTTTACAAACTATAATATTAATTAAATGTTTAACTGAAATATGTTATGTTCTGTGGGCATTAAAAGATTGTTTAATGTACATTTGTGTGTGTTTTTATTTTTCATATTTAAATTGACCACCTGTAAGTATCGCCGTTCCAAATCGATAAATGGTAATAAAATATGACTTATCTTATCAGCGCAACATGATAATGACTGATAAAATCTAATTACCATTGGGAAAAAAAGGAAACAATGGTATGTAAACTTCAAACTGAATATAAAGCTCATATAAAATAAATTATAGAATGTAGAATATATATATATACAGGGTTCGTACGGTCATGAAAAACCTGGAAAAGTCATGGCATTTTAAAACACCAATTTCCAGGCCTGGAAAAGTTTTGGAAAAATAAATAAACCCATAAGGGTCTACTTTTATTTGTGTGCACTCACAATATCAGCATACGTTGTGCTTTTTTAGAAAACAAACGGGATACGCTTTCTGCTGTCTCGGTGTTGAGCAGGAGCGCTTCACAAAAATGAACCGAAACCCTGCGAATATTCTATTCCCCTGGGGCATTCATCGTGGTAATTACTTGCTGGCGTTTTGCGGCAAGCTTTGCGTGCGCTTTAACATGGAACTCTTCCAGCACTCGCTGCTGCTGGACACTAAACACCGTCCGAGCCACTCTTGAT